CCTGTAAAAATATAATTCGGTAATCTCCAATGTGTTTATCTCGGTCATAAGTAGTGAAATATGATCCAATTAAACCATTTAAAACCTCACCAAAAAGATTTCTAGAACGCGGAGGGGGGGGGGTATACGAGGAATATGTAACGGGATACTAAAGATACTGAATGGGTTTATCAAACGGGGATTCATAATAAAATATTTCCCGATTGTTTGTAGCAGGACCTCGACCTTGAAACTTGTTTAATCCAGTCTATACCGAGTCAGTTACTAAAAATAGTGTATGGGTTTATACAATTTAAACGGAGATTCCTAGAAAATAATATTGTTTGCAAAAAGTCTCGCCCCTTGTTAGAGCCACAAAGCGCTTCAACATCGGTGAAGAAGGTCGTGTATTTATGTTATAAGGTGATCGATCACGCCCATTACGTCATCAATATGTCTGATCAAGTGAGTATATTGAAATGATTATATTACAGAATATGAGGTTATTCTAGTTGTCCAGGTTAACCAGTAATCTGTTTGATTGTCCAGTATTTGATGTAATGATTTAGTGCGTTGACCTTTTGTAACTCGACGTTTAGGTCACAGTACGGTTGGATTTTAAATTTCTATCCCACAAAATAATTCAAAACTAACCCGGGCTTCATGTCAGTTAGATCTAGTTTTATTCGCTTTAAAATTAGGAGCTATTGGCCAAGGCAGTGGGTATATATCTAATTACACGACAATGGGTATCAGATGATAAGGTTTCCCTGTAATCGACTTAATAATTGAGTCTATTTAATATAACACTGGCTAATATATATACACACGTGACTTGATAACCTAGACTACAATATACCTGAATCAGCTACTATAAATAGTCGGGTTTTCCTAAAAGGGGATTGTACAACAAATATTTCCGTATATATTTAGACCCGCCTCGACCCCTGTTTTAGAGACATAACTTGCCCAAATCATCGGTAGAAGACTGTTATATTATAATTAAGATGATCAATATGTCTGATCAAGTGAGTTGTATAGATATTATATAAGTTTGTATATATCAAATCTATTTAAATCTTGAACTTAAACCTGTCACATCAAGCCTGCCATATTGTTGTTTTTACGTCTAGATCAACTGACATCTACGAGCAGGACATTCGTCTATTTCACCTGGGCCCTGTTTCACGAAATTTTAACTAAAGATAAAATCCAAATTTTAGTAGATACTTCAATTTTGATTGGCTAAGCACTAAAATCAATCTAATATCATCCAAACAAATTACTAAAATTTAGATTTTATCATAGTTAAAATTTCGTGAAACAGACCCCTGATTACAACCACTGACAACCATCAAAGTATTTTAACATCAAAATGTTTAAGACTTAATTTTGGTTCGAAAATGATGTGACCTTGTTTCAAGAAGATTGGGTTATGGGAGACAACTCCATTAAACACAATTTCAAATGGATTGAGACCACCGGGGTTTTCACCATTTCATTTTATTTATAGTTTAAAATTTTGCGTTGTTTTAATATGGAAAGTGAAGAGAGGGGTGGTGCTTAACGTACGCTCGGCACAAACTAGGTCATTTCAATTATTTGCTTACGCTTTGGAGAAAACAGGAGGATCCGGAGGAAACTCACAATCGTTTGGCAGTCATGATACATTGATTGGTGAGATTTGACATGTCTGTTATCAATGTCAAGGTTCACCGAACAGACTTATAAAGACAGACATACACCATATACAGTGTGCTATGAGGGAAACTATTCCCGGACAGCGGCACTATGATCCACTCTTATATCGAATTCCAACCATCAAGGGTTCTTTTACGTGCATGCCAAACTGGACATGGGCCCTGTTGTTGTTTTTTGTCCCATCCAAGTGACTAGACGAGTAATAACAGAAACCACGAATGAAAAATTCATGAGAACTTTCTCGACCAAGACCGGAATCGAACCCCGGACCTCCTGGTAGTAAACCAGCGCCTTACTCACCGAATCACCGCGGTTCCTGATTGGAGTAGAGTTGGAGGGGGGGGGGGGGTATTTATCATATCAAATATATCTATTAAATGATATTTATCAGTGATTATTTGTATATATATTTTATATATTTCAGTCAGAATCTACTAAAACCAACCCTGTTACATATCATTTTAACGGCACCAGTTATGTACAGCTTGGTAATCACAATGTCGTCGATCACCAATTTACTAATCAACTAAAAGAAGAAGTGGACGCCATGAAATATGAACTCGCTATTAGGGACGATAAAATAGAGACATTAACGCGTGGAATGAACCAACTGACAGAGAGAGTGAGGATTCTAGAAGATGAAAAAGTGGTAAAAAAAACTGACGTTAATAATAAAAATTCAGACAAGACAGATGAAATGATTACTCTCCAGATATTCTTCTATTCCAGGTAAATAAACATTTTATAATAGTAGATGAAATGATTGTTTTTAAAATAAACGACATATGAGGAATATTAAACTTGTTATAATAGAACCATTAGTAGGTGGATGATAGAAACAAAACATGTAAAATTATATATTATAGTTAAAACACTGATATCACAATACAAGATGAGTGATGAAACCACACTAAACAAAAACATCACCCGATTGATGACGTCAAATAGAGATGACGTCACTAATATAACAGTTAGCAGTTTTCACACACGTGGTATTTATCTCATCTGGTGACTGTTATTTCAATATGGTCCAAGTAGATATTTATCAGAGTTGAACACTGTAAAACTCGTATTACATGTACGCAATTTCGCCGATTATTTGCAAACATTCCCATTACACCTGCATTAGACCCACTTACATGGAAAACACGTACATGGAAAACAGGTCCACTATTTCAACGTCCATTTTATTTTCTTCTATCCCTTTCTTGGACATCACATATTTTATTTATTTACCTGTATATACAGTATTATAATATATATTTACCTGTATGATATAAGTATTATAATATATATTTACCTGTATTTACAGGTATGATAAGACTATAAGTATTAGTAGAGATCAAACAGTGAATGAATTAGAGAAGATACTGGAGAAGAACCATTTCAAGTATGGTGGTTGTATTAGTAATATCTACAGTGATGATGATAAACAGCACAAGTACCACTACAAACAACACAACAAACATCTCTCATTATCACAGTATAATATAACAGATAGAGATAAGGTCCACTGGTGGTACTAGTCTGTTGATGGTGTATAAAATATTAAATCATATATACTAACTATAAAACAATATTAAACATTTAACTTGAACATTGAATTCTATCTATATATACTAACTATAAAACAATATTAAACATTTAACTAGAACATATTATACTGTATAAAGTAATGATATAGTTTGTATGATATTATACTGTATAAAATAGAAATATAGTCTAGTAATAAAATATTAAATATTTATATTTTACACAAAAATACCAAATCCAACCATGTCGATCTGGGGGTGGGTGGGTATGTGATGGTGTGTGGGTATGTGGATTATGTGGGTGGGTGTGGGTATGTGATGGTGTTTGGGTATGTGGGTGGGTGTAGTATGTAGGTTGGTGGCTGGGGGTATATATGGATATCATGGTGGGTGTCGGTGGGTATGTTCTGGGTGAGGTTATTTGGGAATGTGGGTGGGTGGGGTATATGGGTGGGTGAGGTTATTTGGGTATGTGGGTGAGGGTAATGCATATGGATGGGTGGTGTTAGTATTGGAGACAAATAAATTTGCTTACTTCTAATGACGTCACTATCGTCATCTTGGCATTGTGACGTCATATCGACAAGTGATGGTCTAATCAACAAGCATGCCAAATATCATGTCGATCTCACTTGAATTGTGGGTGTTGAACAGAAAGCTGACAACAACGACATGAATAATATGTAAATATGTGTCTGTCTTGATGACGTAACGATATAGTAAAATGTCGGATCAAATGAGAATAAGCTGATATATACACCAACTATAATCAATTCAAAGAAGTAGACACGCTGCCTCACTAACCATTATATCGGTGTCGTATGGCGGAGGACCTGGAAAGAAACAATATCTAGTCGTTTGGATAGGACGGAAATTAGAGGTCCAGTGTTCACCATGACAGGTGTAATCTGATTGTTGTCCTGATAAAATGTCCATCATAGCATGTCCGTCTTTATTTATCAGGATGTGTGTAGTACCAATTCATTCATTTATTCCAATCAGAGATGTAAATAACAAGTTCTACTTCGTCTATACCAGTCTCATTGTTTCCATCAAGCTTCATTAAGTTGTCAATATGAATAGTCTATATCAGTCTAATTGTTTCATCTAAGCTTTATTAAGTTGTCAATATGAACGGCTGATTCCGTCAATGAACGGCTGTAAAATAGCGCCTGATAACTATTGAAAATCGAAACGTCGTTGCTGTTACTGATTTAGGAATGTTGCAAAGTATAGGCCTATCCGTGTCAAAGTATAGGCCTATACATGTCAAGTTTTCAGTGGGTTGTCCTTCATGCACCAGTTTGTAAAACGTTTGCTGTATACTATATTGTCGAGTTTACGTCTAAACCAGAATATCGACCCCGAGAATATAAATTAATATTTAAATATGTTTATCAGTAAATCAAACGATTATAGTTGAAATTAAAATGACCTAACAGTAGTGGTGTCAATGGTGTAAAGCCAAAGTGTCAAAGATCGGGGGGGGGGGTTATCAATATAAAGGGAAGCAACTCCATTTAATACAATTACTTATTCATTTGACCAACAGCCGACAACACCCAGAATTTGGACAGGTAGCCGTGGGGGGAAACCGGAGGACCCGGAGAAAAGACATGAGGTCGGACAGGCGACCCTATTCCTTGTCACGTACAACCAGGGGATCGAAACCACGCCAGTTGACTCAATGACAAACTTTATGATACAGCACGCACGTTCTAACCATTCGCCCCCCCCCCCCCCATAAAATATATTAATTATATTAATAATGATATATATTGCGGCATGACATATAATTTTTTATTGTCTGGTCACGTTGAATATGCGAGATAAGACATCGATACTTATAAAAGATACAAATATGGTTACATACCTTCTTTTTCTTAATCCAACCAGTTTTGAAGAAATGTTTCACATCACTGATAAAGGTGTATGAATGGTATACAGATTTATATTAGCAATCGTCTTAAGACGAGTTCAGAGAAAACAAAAACTAACAAAATACAACTAGATCTTACAAAAAAAATAGACCATAACGAAAAAAGAACCAGAATATAATGAAATAACTGTTTTATGGTTTAGTATACATAGAAGTAGAAATGACAGAGTTGTGCTTGATAACGATAAGAGAATACTTATCGAAACGTCGTGCTTGTGTATAATAAACCAGTGATTGTTGTCCCATATAACTGTATAGTTTTGTTGAACTTTTTGGGTTATTGTCTTTAGTTAACTTGTTCATGGTAACAACTTCAAACAGTGAATCATTCTTTTTAAAACTTGAACTTTTTAGTTAATTTGTTTTACATTTAAATATTTCTGCTCGGACACTGAACACGTCCATATAAAAACTGGCGTCATTATAGGACACCATTAAAAACATGGCGCCAAGAAAGACACAGTGAGCGATAAAATAGTTATACCATATGACTGTCATGGTAACGCATATCAAACAAAACAACCAGTTGAATATATTATATATTAACAATCGCCATCTGAAAAATACAAAATACTGTAATAGAATTATTATTATTATTAGGCAGTGAAATCAAAATGGCCATCTGGTTACATTAATTCCTAGAGTCGTTGGATGGCCTAATGGTTAACGCGTGCACGTTGTATCATAAGGTCTGTCATTGAGTCAAAGGCGTGGTTTCGATTCCCCGCTTTTATGTGATAAGGCGCAGGGACGCCTTTCCAACATCGTGGGTTTTCTCTGGGTCCTCCGGTTTCCTCCTACAGCTAAAGTCGTAACTCGCAAGCGAATTATTGAAATAAATTTGAACTATATGTTAGTCCCGAATTGACCTAGTTTGTGTCGAGTGGACGTTAAACCCCATTTCTACGCTGATTACCAATGAATTTAGTGCAAAAGTTATTTATAGTCTTTTCCCTCCTTTTCACCTGTTGCATGATGATTTTTTTAAGACTTTTTGGTGTAGAATCGAAGAAAAGGATTTGAATATATTATTATATTGTCTGTCAGGTTTTGGTGAATATTCATGATTTTGGGACGGAAGGATACGAGAGTTTGGTCAAGTTGAAATGTAGGACCGACATTGCATGTTTAAAAGTATGGCTACTTTCAGTTTGTGTATGTCAAGTTTTCCATAGTAAAGTTCATATCTGGTTTTAAACAAGGGATTGACACATGTTGCTCCATCTTTGGTAGAAAGGGTTCAACCCAATAAAAATTTAGGGAAAAGTTAGAGACGAGAATTAGCAATGGAGAAGTTATTCGTGCACTGTGGGCAAATATAGAACGGTCGGTTACTGAATTTGAAATATGGGAGATAACTCTAATGAGGTCATTGAACCAGCGTATTACTCACTCACCCACCGTGGTTTCTAACGGTTCTGAGTGGCAAACAAAGGGTAAGCTGGTTGATAACACATTTATTCTTTACCAAGACCAATGAACGGCAATGTCATCCATAGTTGATCTATGTCTATTTCATTTCACCTGATGACTATCAGGAATATTTTATAGGAAACATTATAGACATTACGTACAAATTTATTCCACAGATATACGCGCGAGTATATTCAATATATATAGTGCACAAATCTACGTATAAATATATTCCACAAATATCCGTGCTAGTATATTCCACAAATATCAGGAAACCGTAAAAAGATGGTTTGCCAGTAAACTTGAGTGAATAATTTATCAATAAAATACTATTCTGCTCCGACTGGGCTAAAGAAGACGGGAATACGCGATACACTGTGCTATGAGGGATATTTTTCCCAGAGTTACGACCTACTTTTATGTCGCGTTCAATACCAAGGGTTGTTATACATGCACCTAATGTGTACACGAGATCGTGGTTTTTGTCCCATCCGAACGAATATACGATGTCCAAATCACTGTAGCCACCCTCTCTCTCTCTCCCTCCCTCCCTCCCTCTCTCTCTCTCTCCCTCCCTCCTCTCTCTCTCTCTCTCCCTCCCTCCCTCTCTCTCTCTCTCTCTGTATATAAATCTATAGAAATAACTTACGCTATGAAGAATGAAACAGACTAGAGGAATGATTATAATCCACAACATTGACCATTCTAATATGACGGGTATAAACTCACTGTACCAGTATATTGAACACTTCCGTGGATACCAACGTATTCTGAACAAATACAAAAATAACCATCACAGAAAACTAGAAAACAAAACCTGATGAATAAGATTGAGATACAAACAAACTCTGGTAAATGATTCCGGGAGTTTATTCTACGGCCCTGTCAGGACTCCAGGAGTTTATTCTACGGCCTTGTCAATTTCCCCGAGGTCCCACGGCCTTGTCAGAACCCCAGCGTTCATTTTACGGCTATTTCAGTAGTCTGGGATTCCTATAAATTGTCCCTTGTCAAACCCTTTATCCTACTCCACCGCTGACAAGGGGAGAACCTTGAACTTTCTAGGTCAATAATGGGAATGAACACGGGACTTCAAGGATAATGAAACGTTTAGTCACTGAGTCACCGCGGCTTCCACGAGGCTTACACGAAGGAGAAGTGATACTGAGTGTTACTTACACAAAAGAGAAACTTACACGAAGAAGTGATACTCAGTATTATTTACACAGAAAAGAAGCGATACTGGGTGTTACTCACGCGAAAGAGAAGAGGTACTGAGTGTTACTTACAAGGAAGAGAAGTGATATTGAGTGTTACTTACACGAAAGAGAAGTGATACTGGATGTTACTTACACAAAAGAGAGTAGAGCTGGTAATAGATGGATATAAACCGAGGTAGTTTTATCGATACAGTGTAAAACTAAAGAATTCCTGAATACTACCATCGCCCACACCATGGGTCCATTAGCCAACGCAAACACTACAATAAATAATTCAGCTTGATGTGGTGCCATCCTGAAACAGATACTAAACAGTTCAGCTTGATGTGGTGCCATCCTGAAACAAATAATAAACAGCTATATTATGTTCAATAATAAAATGTCATCCAACCAGCGGTTGCCAGCCAAGATACGCCCACGGTGTGCAAGAGATGGATAAAGAACAAGCTATTTTTTAGTACAATCAGAAGCAATAATCCGGGAAGTTATGTTCCGAAATGCGTGAATATGGAAAGTGACTGAGATTTTGCTTTGTGATATAAAGATATTTTAAGGTTCATCAAAATCTTTTTAAAATTTTGATCTCTAGAGGGCCCACAACCTTCGTATTACATACTTTTACACAATTTGCGTACAAGGAGCGGTCATTGTATCGGGCAGTTTCGTTTCGATTCTAACTCAACCTTCATTTTTGTGTAACGGTGATATATAGCGTATAGTTGTTCGTATTGAAAGAAATACCAAGGTCCCGTGTACATATTGGCGTGTAGGTAAAAGATTCCTTGGCAGTTGGAAATCGTAGTACGAGTAGGACGTAGCAACGCTGTCAGGACAAAATTTCCCTCAGGTGTATGTCCGTCTTCCTTGACCCAGTCGGTGAAGAACAGTAGGACGTTAAACTCCATTTCATTTCATAAACAGAAATAATAAGAGAAGTTTCTATAAAAACCTTTTCCCTGTACTCACCATATAAAGGAATACCACATTATAATAGAAAATGAAATGAAATGGGGTTTAACGCCCCACTGTACAGTGTGCTATGAAGGGAATTGTCAAGGGATCTTTTACGTGCACGCCAATGTGTACACGGGACCTCGATTTTTCTTCCCATTCGAACAACTATTAAGTTGTAGACTACATGAGCTGTCATATCATTTTTACTATCAATATTACAAGGGAAGGGAAATAACTCCGGAATGATTCCAGAAAACACAAACAAGATGTCGCCTTTATCTGATGAAGCTCAGAAATAATCTGTCTTTTGTACAGTCTAGAACGAACAGGGTAAAAAATATCTACAGTTTTATAATTTACAAATATTAACCTTGACTCTTATGTGGGGTGGGAGATTGTGGGGTCTAGTCGTTTAACGCGTGTGCGTGAAACCATAAGGTCTGTCATTGAGTCAAGTGGCGTGGTTTCGATTCCCACGCTTGTATGTGACAAGGAGTAAGGTTGCCTGGCCAATCTCGTGGATTTTCTCCGGGTCCTCCTGTTCGTTCGTTGGTTCCTGTAGTTTTACGTCCACTTCCACCAAAGGTGATATCGTAGACAAGTGTTTCCTACGAAACTTGCCAGAGGAAGCCACAAAAATAGGCTTGATCCAGCTTATTTTGTGTAAAACACGATATATTTCATCCATATGCTTAATACTCCTATAGAATAATAGAAATAAAATTAAACCGAAATTACCTGGTTTGTGCCGAATGGGGGTTAAACCAACGGGTGTAGTAATGGTATAATACCATATTAGAGGTGGTACGAAGTGTTCTAGACTTACCAATATATGATAATTCTGATGAGTAGTAGAATAGGTGTAGTAATGGTATAATAATATATTAGAGGTGGTACGAAGTGTTCTAGACTTACCAATATATGATAATTCTGATGAGTAGTAGAATAGGTGTAGTAATGGTATAATAATATATTAGAGGTGGTACGAAGTGTTCTAGACTTACCAATATATGATAATTCTGATGAGTAGTAGAATAGGTGTAGTAATGGTATAATAATATGGTAATAACCATTGAACAGAGAAGAGACCGTGAACCAGTATAACTATAGTGGTTAGAGATATCACATACACCAATTTCTCTTGTATACGTTTCTTCTTTAATAACTAATAAAATATAACCTGTTATAGCAAGAACGTTCTTTAATACCTAACGAAATACAGTTTAATGAAATGGGGTTTAACGTCCTACTGTTCTGCTCCGACTGGGCTTATGAAGACGGACATACGTTATACAGAGTGCTATGAGAGAAACATTTCCCGGACAGCGGCGCTACGCCCTACTCTTCTATCGAATGTCAACTGCCAAGGTTCACGTCAATGTGTTGTGTACACTAGACAGCTTTCCTTGTCAGGTCCTCCATCCTGCATCACTGACAAAGAGAAGCCACGCCGGAAAATTCCGATGAACCTTCTCGGCCAATACCGGGATCGAACCCGCGACCTGCAGACTAACGAGCCAGCGTCTTACTCACTTAGTCACCGTGGCTCCAACTCTGAAAGGGATTTTACAAATAGTTGTTGAAATTCAATAGAATTGTTCGTCTCTGAACATATATCAATGTTGCCTGTAGAGCGAATAAAAACCAAATATTTCTGTAATGTTGCCTGTAGAGCAAATAAAAACCAAATATTTCTGTAACACTTTGGTCCTTGAGGCAATTTTGATTCATTGCAAAATTGTTACTTTACTCTGTCTATAAAGTTAAATCACACGTACTTAATGAACGTGAATATGTAGTTATACATAAAAAAAAAACAACTGTGATATTTTGGTTAAATCATAATCATTGTCAAAATGTCCATCAAATTCTGGCTGTTTATTGACCTATGGTTGGTTGACCAAAAATAGGTAATGTCTCCTATCTTACTTGTGGGAAATAAAGAAGTTTATTTTATATATGTCATGGAAATTAACGTCAAGGTTATCGAAGACCTGTAGAAATTAGTAGGTATAAATTAGGGGGTATAAATTAGTGGGTATAAATTAGGGGTAGAAGCAAGTTGAACCAGAACTCACCCATAAATTCCTAGCAGCCATTATCATTGAGAACGAGGAACCTGCAAAGCCATTACAGCTTATCAATAAAGTTGTGAAACTATTTTATGCTGTAGTCTTGTTAAAGATCACCAGAAAATAAACACAACAAGAAGAAGTCCAATAGTTCAAATATTTCACCTCTACAAATCGTCCAACTTCTGAATCCCGTTTCTTCCTGGGTTCCTCTTCTTCCTTTTTACACGAATCTCTTTCATCCTGGATTTTGATTACCTTATAATCACCATTCGTATACACTCGGTCATTTCTATCAAATAATAACAATAGTCATACACTTGGTTATTTCTATCAAATAATAACAATAGTCATACACTTGGTCACTTCTATCAAATAATAACAATAGTCATACACTTGGTCACTTCTATCAAATAATAACAATAGTCATACACTTGGCCACTTCTATCAAATAATAACAATAGTCATACACTTGGTTATTTCTATCAAATAATAACAATAATGGGGAGATGAGCCGATAACAAAATTAAATGAAATGGGGTTTAGCGTCCTATATTTCTGCTTTATTGTAGCTAATGAAGACGGGCATAAAGTATGACATACAGTGTGCTACGAGAGAAATTTGGACCGGTTAGCGACACTACGACCTACTCTTATATTGAATTACAGGTTCTTTTGCACTGCTACGGGTGCGACTGATAATTCGATAATTGTGTTATCGGTGCACATGGGTAATTGTCCATAACTGGACATGCTAACCAATGTTTTCACTCGATATTCTATTTCAAAGGGCCGATTTTAATCATGTGTGAGTTATGAACGACACTAATCCGTTGCGTGAGGTAACGACAAAGCTAAAATCTGCGACCGAATTACGCAAGATGAAATATCGGTTACGCAAATATAATTTGATTCCTCAGCAGACCGGAGACCGTAAAACTAAGATGAACGAGTTTGTATTGATCCAAAGTGAACCACAAAAGGTTTAACTAGGTCATTTCGAGACTAACGCATGGTTCAATTTGCGGTCTTTAGCAGTGGGAGGGAACCGGAGAACCCACAGAAAACGCACGAGGTTTACAGGTTCACGTACAAGCGAAGAATCGAAACTACGCCACTTGACTCAATGACAGACCTTATGATACAGCACGCATGCGTTAACCATTACCCAACAGCACACTATATGGTGTATGTTTATAATCCCAGTTGGTGCAGAAAAGTAGGACGTTAAACCCCATTTTATTCCAGTATACTTACAGAATATTGGAGACCGTTTTAACACCATTTGAGTTACATGTTATCACCGTATCTGTTGTTTTAACATTGATGTTATTATTCTTCACACATCTGTTTCTGTCGGGATCTTTCGATTTATCCATTCCTGTATAATATACACAGTGATAATTGTCCAATCAAAGCTGAAAGTTAAACAACTGTACCTTATAATGCCAGACAAATTAATAAGGGGGAGCGGGTTTGAATCTTACAGAATGAAAATGAAATGGAATGGGGTTTAACGTCTTACTGTTCTGCTCTGAACTTGAGTTAATGAAAACGGGCATACGTCATACAGTGTGCTATGAGGGAAATTTTGCCCGTACAGCGGTGATAATGGGGTTTAACGTCTAAACCAACCGGGATAAGCCCTCCAGTGTAATTTAAGGGACTTTTTGCTCGGGCAGTGGTCTTTCCGCTGTGTCGAATTCCAGTTGTCAAGAATCCTATTGTACGTGGGGTTTACATTTTTTCGTCCTATACGAGTGACTAGGAGCTGTTCCTTGTCAGACCTTCCGTCATACACCATCGATAAGGGAACCACGCAAAACCAGGATCGAACCCGGGACCCATCGGTTATTAATCCAGCGCCCTAATCACTGCGCCACAATAATGGAAGTATCATCATAGTCCAAAAAAGCAAATTTTATTATCTCAATTGTTGGGCGAAGAACGAAGGGAGTGTCATTTAGAAAAAAAAACAACAACATTTAAGTGTGTATTTTTATATTTGGGTCAGTTTAATTAATGAACATTTCTCGGTCAGAAATCAAAAATTCAGTTGTTTATGTGTAAACTTGAGTTTCTTTGCAATAAAACAAGTAAATTGAATGAATTCTAAATTGTTTGATGATAATTAACACTAATCTTGTATTATCATACATAATTTAATAATTCAACATTGTCTAACACGTTTAACTTAGACCATAGGGTCTGTCATTGAATCAGGTGGCCTGGGTTCGATTCCAAGCTTTTAGACAAGGACTCTGGGGCGAAGGAGTAGTACTAGCCCGCCTAACCTCGTGGGTTACTCCGGTTTCCGCTGCTCTAGACCGCTACACACAAGCGAATTACTGAAATTAAAGAGTACCGTACTGGTACAAGCCTGCGATCAGTGCGATCGAAAAGAAACTTGACTCAAATGACACTTATATAACTTCTGACCATAAAGCGCATGTACATATTACCTAATTCTATGTTTATTGTGTATTATAACAGTTCATGTGTCGTCTTGACAACCAGATAATTTACACCTGTATTATTATAAAACAGACAATATGTATGTAATCTTACCTGCAACCTAGCTTACCGTCTTGAGAACTGTGTATATATATATCACCTGTATGTAGTATAGAATATCAACCGTGACCACTAGTGATATACAAGTTAATACTATATATTGACCTATATATACCCAACTTGTAAACAAGTGTTACACTGGATCGATACACAGTGTGTCACGTCACTTATTATCCTCCCTAATATCAGACCAGCCATTTTACTTATTATCCCCCCTGAGCTATTTCACATTTTCCCCTCCCTAATGTCAGACCAGCCATTTTACTTATTATCCTCCTTATTATCGCACTAAATGATATAAAACTGTAAAAAATAAAAGTTTAGCAAATTGAAACAATCACATAAGAATGAAAACAAAAATTAAATTGTAACGAAGGAACTAAAATATATTGAAATAAATGGGGTTTTACGTCCTTCCTTTGGTTGACCTTATAGAAGACGGGCATACGCCATATTATTATGATTATGATAAAGTGTGCTATGATGACTGATGAGGGAAATTGTATCCGGACAGCGGCGCTAAGGCCTAATTCTAACCTCATTCTAAGGTGGCTGTGACATGTTTGGTGACCAAGTTTTAATTTCCAAAACAAAAAAAAAGGAGTTCAAAGATTTGGCATACGGTAGGCCTAGGCTACCTTTTTTTTCTTTTTTGCTTTTTAAGCTTGCAATGCCATTGTCGTTGGTTCATCATAATCATATTGCCTATTGGATTTTTCGGTCTTCGGCTGTTTCCATATCAATCATTCAAAAGTTCACATCTAGATTTTAATCAAACAGTAACAAGATATTGTTTACACATGCATTTACTGTTAAAATTTACCATTTCAATTTAGACTCTACTGTTAAATTACATTTAAGCCCTACTGTTAAAATTTACCAACCATTTCAATTTCCCTTGTATCGTGCCATTCTGACTAACTTATAATTTTCAAACAGTAGTGTCAGGAATCCGATTGACCGTTACACGCTATGTTTTTCTCTATGTGAACCAGGAATACTACTGACTGTCCAATTTATATATCTTCAATGTCTACCAGTATTAGGAATTATTTTTACTGGTAGACATAAATAAAGAGTCTATGTCTGATTAAAGAATTATAAACAACTTTATATATTTTAATCTATAATAATGAAGATTATTAATATCATTATTATCTCAAAATTATTCGCGTTGCCAATTGCACACCTTGTCTCGACGTTTCGAATGAATTTCTGGATTTAGCTGCGTGACGTTTCTAAATAAAGGTAAGTAACTCTAGCTATTTAAACATAGTAGGGATCAGATCAAACGTTATTTTTATAAAGTTATTCATTGTTAAATCACACGATTCTCCTATGCATAAAGAGAAGAGTTGGGGTGGGGCTGTCTGCACATCAAATACAACAGAAATTAATTAGAGCATTTCGCAATGGGACTACACAGGCGTTACGGCAGGCGCGGGTGCTTCCATGTAGCCGCCTCTAGATATTATGTTAGATCGACAGTTTGACGTTGATTCGGCGATGCTCTTCTTTCGTGATACCCTTCTTTCGTGATAGGCCTACCCTTCTTTGAGATCCCCTTCTTTTGTGATTCCCTTCTTTCGTGAATCCCTTTTTTGTGATTCCCTTCTTTCGTGAATCCCTTTTTCGTAATTCCCCTCTTTCGTGATGCCCCTCTTTCGTTACACCCTCCTTTCGTGATGCCCTTCTTTCGTAATACCCGTATTTATTATGATAATAAAAGGGATGTCCCGGCAGTCATAACTAAAGATGTCAACCAACAAGAGAAGATATGGGAATTTATTTTCAATAAAATGGACTGTCGTTTTTCTTTGTAATAATGCTAATTAGTATGCCACGGCAGTTTAAATAAACATATCAACCCAAAGGGAAAGAAACCCCTGGGATTGTTATTCAACCCATGAATCATGCAGAACAACCCAGCTTGAATCGTAGAGTTTAAATCATGAAGAACAACCCAGCTTGAATGGTAGAGGTCAAATCATGAAGAACAACCCAGCTTGAATCGTAGAGTTTAAATCATGAAGAACAACCCAGCTTGAATGGTAGAGTTAAAATCATAATAACTGATAGCAGCCCTTGTAATGATAATATGGAGGATGCATCAGCAGTCTAAAATAAACATCATCCATAAGCGGAATAAAATCAATCCGCCAAAAGGGTGATGGGGCTACAGCCAGGGACTCCATGTAAAAGCGGACCCCGAATTAAACATACATTATGCAAGAGCTAAATCTGCCAATTGCTGGTCTTTCTTTAGGCCTGAAATGTTATCTAAATTATTAATTAACATATCAAGACCATAATCAACTCCCCATTTCATCGCTAGCCTGCGATATTTACTGGATTAGAACCCGGTCTGCTGCTGCTGATTGAATCAAAAAATGGATAATCGAAACTATGTTGGGCTAGACCCAAAATTAAATCGCTAAATTCTCGGTTCAAAGAGGATCAATTTGACTGAAATTTGCAGCAAATTATCTTTGCATTATCTAGTATTTAACTATTATAGTGAGAACTGTCAGCTCTTTATCTAATCTCCCATAATTTATTTTTAATAAATTAATTCCACAATAATTTTTTACCATAAATATTGTATATTATATTGTATATTATATTACCATGGTGACATATAAATTGTATTTATGTCAGTGGTATTCACATAAAATCATCGTCTGTCTCAATTACACCTACCGATAAAAACACCCTGTCACATGACACAGTGGTTGTTGGTATCACGCAAATAGATTCTCATTGGATGAAGTAACCACTGATGATTGATTGACAGGTTCTAGTCTGGATCAAATTACTGAGGAGGAGGTGTCTTTATTTCGTCATCAATTACATGATGACGTCATACATACTGACAGTGTGATCTATTTCCTGAATGGAAACCGTTAGATCGGAGACGGTCACATTATGCGAATTGTGTGTTGGGGTAAGGATAAGGGTTAGGCTTGGCCGAGGGTTAGGGTTAGCGCTAGCCCTATTTACATCTGGATACTTTAACGAAATCTGCAGGTCATAACCTGCAATCCACATATGTGCTAAAATGTGCTGGACCGCCTCTGATTCCTCAATGCCTTAAACAGCAGAATATAAAACATTGTCTCTGCCGTACACACCCAGCCACCCCACCCACACACACACACACACACGTGATGTATTCATACGTTTATCACAGTTTTTAACTGGACTTCAACAGAATATAAAACATATTTACAGTCTTTATATTTATATACACAGTAAAAATAACATCTCCATTTTATACACCATCATAATATTGTTTTATAGATAGAAATTGTTTTATAGATAGAAAAAAAATAGAATTCAATGTTTAAGTTAAATGTTTAATATTGTTTTATAGTTAGTATATATAGATAGAATTCAATGTTCAAGTTAAATGTTTAATATTGTTTTATAGTTAGTATATATGATTTAATATTTTATACACCATCAACAGACTAGAACCACCACCAGTGGACCCTATCTCTCTCTTTTATATTAAAGTGTGATAATGAGAGATGTTTGTTGTGTTGTTCGTAGTCGTACTTTAACTCCTCATCATCACTGTAGATACAACCAATACAACCAATATAACCATGAAACTCTACACCACACGTCTTTCTACACTCCTCCAGTATCATCTTCTCTAATTCATTCACTGTTTGATCTCTACTAATACTTATAGTCATATCTTCACACCAAGGACTGTAAATACAGGTAAATATATATTATAATACTTATATCATACAGGTAAATATATATTATAATACTGTAAATAAAGGTAAATATAATATATTGTCAGTTTAATTAGCAAGTGAATAAAGACCATGTTTCTACTTACAAGCTGTTGTAGTATTGTATAGTAAGTTCAATCATATCATCTTTTTCTTTAATTATATTTTTATATGTTTTCTTGACTCCTGTTTTAACTTCCAGAACTTTCACCCTTGACTTGAGTTTTTGTATTTCGTCAGCTTGAGTCTGATTTTCTGACTTGAGTTGTTGTATTTCATTCTTCATTCTATCAAAATCTTGTTTTAGTTGATTAGACTGATGACAGTGTATGTTGTTGGTCTCGCCTAGTTGTACATTATTTGAATCGTACAAATTAACAATCTGGTGTTGGACAATCTGTTGAAGTGACTAAAAAAAAACAAAAAAAACAAATATATATATTAATATTTAACTTTTACCTAAACTGAGAGAGAGAGAGAGAGAGAGAGAGAGGTCGTATCTTTCTATCTCTCCCCTGGCTGTCAACCATCAGGACTAACATAATCAGAAATTACGATAATAAGACTTGTGACGTAATTGTGACTGGTGACATGTGACGTAATGGTGACTCGTGACGTAATCGGTGTCAAAACCTCGATATTACCGTAAATAGATCAGAGACGGTCCTGTACATATGACGTCATACGTGGATTATGGGTTAGGGTTAAGGTAAGGGTTGGGCTTGGACCAGGGTTAGGGTTAGCGCTAGCCCTGTTTACATCTCGAGACTTTAACGATATCTGCAGGTCCTAACCCTTACACTAACCCACATATGACGTCAACTGGTAAAATGTACAGCACCGTCTCCGATCTAGCGTTCTCCAAATACATGATTTGAAAACACTATTAATGTTAATTCTACTCGCTGTGTTCGACATTATAACATATTTAATATAATAATACAAATGTCTGTACATTATAACAGATTGAATATAATAATACAAATTTCTTCTAAAGGGGCCAAGTAGCGACACAAAGAAATAAATTATTTAATAAAATGTCCAACAGGGAAATCCCCGTCTATTTGTGACTATGAGTTTAGCTTTGTAGATTAGATCATACTGGTCATTTTTTATAATATGATTGTTTATTGTAAGCGTTGTAGACTAGATTACACTGCTCGTCTTTATAATAATATAATAGCGAAGTGTTATGTTGAAGACAGATTATAAGTTGTTATGCTTAAAGATACTTCGACATCGAAATTATTTATGGGGAAGTGATTGCCAAAGAAAGTATGGAAATATTGGTATATTTTTAAAGTAGAGATACCTAATCTTAGAAGAAAAATACTGAATTACATGACAACATACATGGGGCACGCACAAGACAAACGTGTGACGGATATACCCCACAGGAAGTATGTAACGTCCAGTAGATTTTGTAATTATACGACGGAAAAAGAAGTTGAATCCAGGAATTTAGTTTGGCTTCGATATGTATGGTAAATTGGCAGCCACTAAACGTAAATACGGGCTGTTAATGGATTGCCCCTCATCCAAATCATGTGATAAACATGACTGATTCCTGTTGTCATGGAGTAGTTGACTTAGCAAACTGTTGATAAAGAAATTAGTTTGAATATGTTTTTAGTTCAAGTATATTATCATATTACACAGTTTGTACGAGGGGAAGCACCTTTAACAGTTATATATTATCATATTACACAGTTTGTACGAGGGAAGTCCCTCTATTGGTTACAATATAACCTATTGATATTAAATAAGGGGAATACCCTCAACATACAGATAAACCGGTTTGACCAGTTTATGACTATAGGTATATTGTGATATCAATAATCAAGATTTTGAAATGTCAAGGTTGGCTATGACCACTGATTTAGTAACTGGTTTACACGTACATTACTGTGCTTACACCCGACAGAAAGACCCCCCCCCACCCGATGGAAAGACCACACCCAATATCAATTTAAAAAATAGGTTCTATAAACATTGCAATCCAACTCCACACCCCGAAGCAAATGTTGTGGATTTCAACCCAGGCTTGTACGTGACCAGTAATATGGTCTACCACTGCCAAACCGCGTGGGTTTTATCAGGGCCTCCCGCTTCCAAACCTTGTGGATTTTATTAGGGTCCCTCGGTTTCCTCCCGCCGCCAAACCTCATGGTTTATATTAGTGTCCCCGGTTTTCCCCCACTGCTAAATACTCCTACACACAAGGCAATTATTGAAATACAATTGAACCATGTATAAGTCCCGAAATGACCTAGTTTGTGTTGAGTGGACGTTAAACCTCTCTCTCTCTCTGTATATCGGACCCTGGTCTATTTATCAGCACTATATGACTGGATAAAGCCGAATTCAAATTATTTCAGTTATCGTGGTTGTATGTATGAGTTGGGTTCAAAACTGAAATCCGTTAAAATACCCCAAAACATGTTAATTCTACTCACAGTGTCAGACATGATGTTGTTGTTATAGTAACAGATTTAATAAACACAACCTTCTTCTACTCTGGTCGACAGCTGAAATGGCGAGAAAAACAAAAATGGCGAGACAAATACAGGCTGGAAATATTTATTAAAATCTCCGAAAGGGAAATCACCGTCTATTTGTGGCTATGACCTAAGCGTTGTAGACTAGGTTATACTGGTCTTGTGCTTAACAGTTACAAAATAATAATGTGACGATCTGGTCTATTGTATTACGTCAGTATATTATCATATAACGGGCATACCCACAATATGAACAAGATAAAACCAGTCAATAATGGGAATTCCCACAATGTTATTCAGTTCAACAGACAACTTGTTTTATTGTTAAAGGTAGATAACTCCAATTAAAGACAAGTCGAGTCAGACTACCATTACAACCACATAGAGCCCACTCTGTCCTGGTCAAAGTTATCTATAGGCTGTGACGTCATTTTACAATGTGACTCCCCGGGTTCATGTTTTTATCTATTTCCCGAGGCCACAAAAAGTAAATACAGATTATCATGTAATGTAAACTCCTACGATAAACTGGTGTTCCTCTGTTATACGTACATCGACTGGGTTAATGCACACGGACATACGCCATGCAATGCACACTCCTACTATAAACTAGTGTTCCTCTGTTATACGTACACCGACTGGGTTAATGCACACGGGCATACGTCATGCTGTGTGATATGAGGGGGCAAGTTGACGGACAGCGACGCGACGGTCTACTTTTATTTAGAATTTCCAACTGGTCATTCATTTTAAAGTTTTTATAAGTTTTCTTATGTGGTTAAGATTTTTTTGAAATTTAAAAGATGTCATTCATAATTTGTGTATGACATGTACATCTATTTTAACATACATGTATTTAAAAATGTCTTCCTTTCTCACATGTATGATTAGTGGGCCCTATACATGGAACTTGGGTTGTGGGGGGGGGGGGTACAACTAAGGAGTGCCCCCCCCCCCCCCCACATCAGAAAATATCTCCACGTCACTATGTTGAAGTATTCCATGATGTATATAACATCACGTCATCATATGGTTCTTGTCTCTCTACGTCACTATGTTGAAGTATTCCGTGAGTTATATGACTTCACGTCACCGGATATTAGCAAATCTCTCGACGTCACTATGTTGAAGTATTTCGTGAGTTATATAACATCACGTCATATGGTTCTTGTCTGTCGACGTCATAATATGGAATTTATGGTTTCATAGTTATCTTAACTTTTATACGACATAATACCAGGCCCCAAGTTTACAAAGCATTCTCAGACTTAAATTAAGAATTTACTCAAAATTATTCACCTTAATTTAGCGATTATATAGCCCTTTATAAAACTTTTGTTGTTTTAATGTATCAAATACATCAATATGAAACTATGTGCAAAGTTTTGTGTTTCTGGATCAAAGATATTTCTCATAAACAGTGACCGAATGTTGAGTAAATTCTTAACTAAAGTCTGAGAATACTTTATGAACTCGGGGGCAGGTTCCTAAAGATGGGTACCTAACATGGTGCTATTACTGTGATGGATATTTTTGCCAAGACAGGGATTGGATTCTAACCATCGGTTGCTCTTTTACGTGCAATCCAACATGTCCACGGGACCTCGGTTTTTTGTTCCAACCGAAAGACTAAACGCATGTGCTTGCCACGCCCACGTCCTGCACCACTGACAAGCCCACGTCCTGCACCACTGACAAGCCCACGTCCTGCACCACTGACAAGGAGAAATCACATTAAATAGAAGTCCTTTAAACGATGCCCGTCTTCATTGAACCAGTCGGAGCAGGACAGTAGACCGCTAAACCGCATTTCATTTCATTTCCTTTATTTGACGCGCAATTGTCCAACTACAAGACCTGTGAATTTTTATTTAGATCGTACTGGGAATGGTGATTGATCCTTTTGCTATTTTTTTTAAAGTGTCTCTCCCCACGAGTAACAACAAAATCAAGCTGAAGAAGATTATCAGATAGAATATTCAACGAATTCCTGATTTAAGAATGTGGGGTTGGGCGGCCGATTGGTTAACCTCTGCGCGTTGCATCATAAGGTCTGTCATTGAGTCAAGTGGTATAGTTTGGATCACCCACTTGGACGTGACAAGGAGTAGGGTGGCCTGTCCAACCTGGTGGGTTTTCTCCGGGTCCTCGGGTTTATAACTCCTACTGCTAAAGGCCCCTAGGAGCAAGCGAATTATTGAAATGAAATTTAACAAAATGTTAGTCCCGAAATGACTTAGTTTGTGTCAAGTGAACGTTAAATTTCCCCATCTCTCTCTCTCTCTCCTCTCTCTCTCGCTCGCTCGCTCTCACTAATTTTGTCGCATGTATGTTAAACCTCCCTGTGTGTGTGTCTGTCTCTCTCTCTCTCCTCTCTCTCTCTCTCTCTCTCTCGCTCGCTCGCTCGCTCTCACTAATTTTGTCGCATGTATGTTAAACCTCCCTGTGTGTGTGTGTGTCTCTCTCTCTCTCTCTCTCTCTCTCTCTCTATCTCGCTATCTCTCTCTCTGGTTTAAAAATGTTCACCCCTGGACAATATCTAACGACTTCATGGTAATATGTACTCAGATTGATTATTCAACAAATTAAAAATACCAACCATATTATAATGTCCAGTCTTGTTTTCAATCGGATTAAAGATTATATCAACCAATCTCCTAGGTAACGTCGGATTGTTCTAAAAATGATGTCAACCAAACTTCTATGTAACGTCGGATTGTTCTAAAAATGATGTCAACCAAACTCCAAGGTAACGTTGGGTTGTTATAAAATATCTGCAGAGAGGATGTCGTCAATCATGACGATTAGATTTATTCGGGTACGTTTCTGTGATCTCACGGTGACTCTGTGAGTCCCGTGTTCGATCCATCCGTTGTCCAAAAAGTCCATCGGGATTTTTCGAGGTGGTCCCTCCTTGTCAGTGGTGCAGGACCGAGGGACTGGCAAAAGAAAACGTATAGTCGTTCGGATGGGCCAAGAAATCCTGTTCCCGTGTACATATTTGCGTGCACGCAAAAGATCCCTTGGCAGTTTGAATTTGATATAAGTGTAGGCCGTACGGCGTATGTCCGTCTTCATTAACCCAGTCGGAGCAGAACAACATGACGATAAATCCCATTTTTATTTGATTTCGTTTTCTACGTTTCTACACCAGCCATCGAACCCTAACTGTCAGGTTCCTGTGGTAGTATTGAATTTTTGTCCTATCCAAACTACTGGAAGAAACCAACACAGGGGATCGAAATCTGACAACCTTAGTTAGTGCGCTAGTCCCTAACTCACCGAGCCGGTGGTAGTATTGTTTTTTTGTTCCATTCAAACGACTAGAAGAAACCAACACAGGGGATCGAACTCTGAACACCTTAGTTGGTGCGCCAGTCACTTACTGAGCCACAGTCAGGCTCAGGTATTGTTATTTGTCCCTCCCCAACGACTAGAAGAGACCAACACAGGGGATCGAACTCTGAACACCTTAGTTAGTGCGCCAGTCACTAACCCACTGAGCCACAGTCAGGCGCAGGTATTATTTTTTGTCCCTTCCAAACGACTAGAAGAAACCAATACAGGGGATCCAAGTCTGGCCCTCTTAGTGAGTCACGGTGGCCCAAAATGATAAGTTATTCAGATATCCATTTATAACTAAGAATAAATATCACGTTTTACAGTGATGGGGTAATTCACCCTATTCGCTTGAAAGATTTCCCAAAGATGTAATATAAAAATAAGAGAGATCTAGTTTACGTTTTATATACACCCATACAATAATAAATATTGAGATCAAGTTTACATAAACTCATACAATTATAAAAAAATAAGATTGCTTAATGTTGATAACATATTGCCAAACTTGTAAATGTGTTTAATATTCATCATCAGTTAAAGCAGCGCGCTATTATATGCATTAACTCATGCATTAGAAATAATTTAAAGGTACATTATGTAAGATTTAGATAAAGATCTCGAGCCAGTTGGTTAAAGTGTCATTAACTTATAACGACTATAGTTAACATGAAGTTAAAGGATTGTTATCTTTAATGGAGGGAAAGACTGTTGCTGAAAATCCTGCTAGGGCCCGACAAGGGCAGCTGTCTAGTCGTTCGGATGATTCGATATAAGAGTAGGCCGTAGTGCCGCTGTCCGGGCAAAATTTCCCTCATAGCACACTGTATGGTGTATGCCCGTCTTCATTAGCCTAGTACAGGGAGAGAGAGAAATGGGGTTTAACGTCCACTCGACACAAATTAGGTCATTTCGGGACTAACATATGGTTTAATTTTATTTCAATAATTCACTTGCGCGTAGGGGTCTTTAGCAGTGGGAGGAAACCGGAGGACCCGGAGAAAACCAACGAGGTTGGACAGGCGACCCTACTCCTTGTCACGTACAACCGGGGATTCGAAACCACGCCAGTTGACTCGATGACAGGCCTTATGATACAGCGCGCGCGTGCTAACCATTCGGCCATCCAACCCCCCGCCTAGTATAGGAGCAGAACCGTGGGATGATAAACCACATTTCATTTCCTTTAACATGTCATTAACATGACGTTGTGTTGTGTTTTTAAAGGGATGTGTTGTGGTCCGTTATTAGTTTAACGATCCGTCAGTCGAAGTATACCCTGAGCAAAAAGTCCTATAGATTACCAGGGGGTGGCCGAATGGTTAGCACGTGCGTGCTGTATCATAAGGCCTGTCATTGAGTCAACTGGCGTGGTTTCGAATCCCCGGTTGTACGTAGGGTCGCCTGTCCAGCCTCGTGGGTTTTCTCCGGGTCCTCCGGTTTCCTCTCACTGCTAAAGACCCCTACGCACAAGCGAATTATTGAAATAAAATTGAACCATATGTTAGTCTCGAAGTGGACGTAGAACCCCCTCTCTCATTCTCTCTCTCCCCTCTCTCCTTATCTGAATCTTACATAATGTATCTTTAAACCATTCTACTGGGAAAGGTCAAGGCCAATTGCTCAAAACTCGGTTATTGTAACGATCCGTGCGTGCTGTATCATAAGGCCTGTCATTGAGTCAACTGGCGTGGTTTCGAATCCCCGGTTGTACGTAGGGTCGCCTGTCCAGCCTCGTGGGTTTTCTGCGGGACCTCCGGTTT